TTATTAATTGGAGAAGATTGGAAACAACCTAAGTGGTCTTTTGGGGACTGGTTAAATAAACCCCGGCATATACACACGATGCGCCTTAAAAGCATCAGCACGTTTTAGCTCTTGTGATTCTGTGTGTTGCCTTGGCCCAGCAAGCAGTGGTTGTACTACAGGCAGACTTGTCTGGGATGCAGACACCTGGAGGTTGGCTTTGGGCTGGAAGCTCAGCTGGGCCTGGGGCCTCAGCACCTGTATTCTTGCCCTTGAGGCTCTTCCAGTGACTTGGGCATGTCCCAGCATAGCTGTTAGAGTCCAGGAGAGAGAGTTCCAAGAAAGAAAACCAGATGCTGCAGGCTCCCTGTGGCCTAGCCTCAGAAGTCACTACCATCACTGCAACTGTGTTGTTGGTCACAGGAGGCCAGACCAAAGGGCGGGGAAATAGAGTCCACGTTTTGATGGGACAGTGACAAAGTCACTCTGCAAAAGAACACATGGGATGAGCAATACTGTACAGCCATTTCTGGAAATACCCTCCACCACATGCTATACAAGGGAGTAGGAAGAAGCTGTGTATGGATACGAAGATCTCCAAAATACGTCATTAAGTGAAAAAAGCTAGGGACAGAAAGGACTGCATCATATACTAACATTAGTGTAAAAAAGTCAAGGTAAAGAATATATTTGTATTTTCTTATATAGTGAAACCTGTGAGAGCCAGAATTGACGAGCCTGCCTTGTTTTTCTGGGTCTTGCAAATTTTCCACCTTTGCCAGGGTGTAGTCTTACCATTTTTCTATTGCTCATTTTAGTGGAAAATATTTGAATTTTCCTTCTCTGACAGATTTCCACTTTACACAGGTACTGCCTTTTGCAGGTTTTACTGTATGTGTATTTTAAAGTTCTCCAGACACACACAGGAACCTAACAGTGGCTGCCTGTTGAAGTTGGAGATTTGGAAGAAGGCTGATGTCTATCATATTATGTTTTTCAAAAACAATGTGAATATTTAAATAAATAACCTTTAGTGTTACAAAAAACCTTACCACATGGTTGCATTTTTTTTAAGCTTCATTGCAATGTGGTTCCATCTTAGAGTTTAGAATCTTAACATTTAAAGGAATTTTTAATCCCATAGTCTGTATTAATTAATGTAATAATTCAGTCTATAGATTTTCAAATATATGGACATGCAACTTTTGAGTGAAAATTTACTTTCAAGAGAATAGATTTTGTTGTTGAGCCATTTTTAAACACCCCATGGAAAATCCATGCTGAGCTAACTTTATTTAATTGATTAAATCACTAGTTCACAAGATACATTGTATTTACAAAGGCATTGCTGTAACAGATTTAAGGAGCCCCTGGGTGGCAGGGTGAAGTACTGGACTGCGAACAACAGCATAACAATTTCATGGCATATTTCTGTATTTCCAATTTCATCAAATTATAAGTCGCTGCAAATGATTAAGTGCTCAACGACTAGTCAAATGGTTGGCACTTTGAACCAGCCACGCGAGTCTTAGAAGCCAGGCCTGGTGATCCGCTTCCGAAGGCCACAGCCTCAGAAACCATGTGGAGCAGTTCTACTCTGCACACACGGAGTCGCCGTGAGTCAGAATCGACTCGACAGCAACTAACAGCAACAACAAGTAATTAAAAATATATTAAATAATTTTGTAACCTATCTTAATCTAAGATTTATGGATAACTAATATTTACACTACCAGAATTTGATTATTGAAAACCAGGTAGACACATGAGAGCTACTGAGAAGAATAATCCCGAGGTGCTCTTCTCCTAGGTTACTATGCCATGCTATGAAGGACCACATAGTTCGGGTTGCAAATGAAGCGGAGTTTATTCTGAACAGACAGAGAGCTGAGGACGTCCATAAACATGCAGAGTTTGAGGTAAGGTTTGGAAAATGGATTCAATTCTGCTTTTCTCTTAAAAATGAACTCTCACTCTGTGTAACCTT